AATACATAAATGGAAAAAAAAAAACAGAGTTCTATACTTTAAGAGGGTGAATTGCATGATATGTAAATGATATTTCTAAGAGGCCATTAATTAAAAAATAAAGCAGGCACCTTCAAACAACAACAGAAAAAAAAAAACCAGGAGAAAGATTCTGTCGATCATGTGTGTGTTTCTGGCTTCTGTGTTCTGTGCCACTGAACTATGTGGCCGTTCCTCGACCTGCCTCACACACTCGATTACCATTGCCATAAAAAGAGGAAAACTTTCAAATTGGCTGGACTGATTCCCCATTTGATTCTTTATTTTCAAAATTGTTTTAGCTTTCCTGCTTCCTTTCCCCCTCCTATATATATTTTTAGAAAAATCTTGCTTGTGTCTTGCCCTCCCAAAAAAAGCTTACAATTTTTAGCAGCGCAATAATGGTAAATGTGCATCAGCAGGGGAGAGTTAACATGTTTATCACAGTGAGACTGCTAGCCCTTGGACACAGTGTACCTCTCCACTGACTTAGATCCTTGGTTTCTTTCACTGGTGTTTTATAGCTTCCAATGTGACAATCCTGTGCATGTTTTGTTAAACTTCTACACAGCTATTTCATTTTTAAGGGATTATAAATTGACAGGTCAAGTAGTTCTTGTCTGAAAGACTTGGGACCAGAAAGAAGTATTTCAGGTTTCATAGGTTTGGGGGTTTGGGGATATTTGCACAGACATCAGATTGTCTTATTAAATATCTCTAACCTGAACATCTGAAATCCAAAGTACTCCCAAATCTGAAAGTTCTTTAGTGTCATGTTGACCGTCAAAAAGTTCACATTTGAGATACTTTTCAGATTCTTACATTACAGATAACAGTCTGTATTGTGATTTTATTTTTGACGTGTAGTGTTTTTGTTTTTAAATTTTATCTTCTAGTTTATTAACAGCAAAAAAAGGATTTACAATAACCTTTTACTTGAAAGTTTCTCTAAAATACTAAAGATAATACTAAAGAACAGGAAATCTATAAATCATTTATTTCATATCACTAAAAATAAAATTTAATAGGCTGAATCACTTATATATTTCTCCTTTCATTGACTTTCATGAATCTATACCTACCACATATTTTAAATATCATTCTGAGACTCGATCATCAAACATAACAATGTTTCTGTAAAATGAGACATCTTATTAACCTTAATTGCTGAAAATCTTTATTTTCTTGGCCACCTCTTATATTGGCATGACTGGGTTTTGTTTTTAGACTGGTGTCATCCAGTATTTCTACATTGAAGACTGGCAGTTTGTTAATGATTATCGACATCCTGTCAGCGTGAAAAAGATTTTTCCTGATGCAAATGGGACCAGATTAGTTTTCATTGATGAAAAAAGTGATGGATTTGTCTACTGTCCTGTAAGTATAAAAAATTTTAAATGCTTGCTTTTTACAAATGCAGTATAAGAAAACAAGTGTTTTTAATGTGTACCCTACATACAATTTTCTCTTAAGTAGTGCCAGAGATTTGTCATCCCCTCTGTAATACCATTTTTGCAACAAATGTTCATGACTACATGTATCAAGAAAACTTCATTCTGTGATTTTTCACTATATCAGCCCCAGTTTTTGTTGTTGTTGTTTTGACAGCATCTCACTATGCAGTTCAGGCTGGCCTTGAACTCACTTTGTAGCCCAGGATGACCTTGAACTCACAATGGTCCTCCTGCCTCAGCCTGCCAGTGCCAGGATTACAGGCGTGCTCCACTACTCCCAGCTCTGAGAAAGATTACTATTGGAAAAAATAGTTGTTATATTTGACACTTCTGCTTCTCGTGTCATATGCAATGCAGTCCCGCATCCCAGCCCCACTTCCTGGGCAGGACTGTGTTCCCCGGTCCCGGCCAGTGTGCGAGGTCTCGGTTCTCTCTGTACACCACGGATGTGACTGCACCCATTGTTAAAGTTGGTGTCTCCTGTATGTAAACACCCTTGACATTTTAAAAAATGGACTTAGTTAAAGGAAATGTTGGCTTTTACTTTTTTCTTTTTTTTTTTAGTACTAAGGATTGAACTCAGGGCCTTGCACTTGCCAGGCAAGCGCTTATTCTACTGAGCTATCTCCCTGGCCCAATATACAACTTTTACTACAGTTAGACTTTTCATTTATTTTTCTATCCGACAGTGGCTTGCCATGTGCGGGTCACAAGTCACCCAGCTTACAGCAGCACTGGGTCCCATCCTCTGTGGTTTTTCCTTAGTGTCCTCTCCACAAAGGCAGCTCCCCCTCACTATGACACTATCTTTGAAATGACCCTGTCTTTGAAGGGAACACTTGATTCCTCTCTCCTCCCCTTTTCCTTTCTTTCCTCTTCTTGTTTGCTCTTTATCCCCCACCCCCACCCTCCCTGTACCCTCCCTTTGGTTTCTTTCTGTAAAAACTATTAGTGGGCATCCCTGGGAGGGCCTGGATGGCTTAATGCCAACTTCCCACCATGCTGGAGGGGGGTCCAGGGAGGGGTGCACAGGAGTCAGGAGTGGGTTAGAACTGGCAGGGAAGGAGCAGGAGTGAGAGCCTCCCTAGAAGCAGAGCCCTTTCCTTCCTCCTGTCACGGCTCTTGCCTGCTCATTTCTGTAATGAGCTCTTACTTC